TGGTAGATACATGTTCACATCATTCCACAACGACAGGGGCTGAAATAAACCATAACATCGGGGTAACCCCCTACTCTTCTGAAAGATGCAATGGGTTCTTTAAAGTGCACACGAGCCAGATGTATACACTGGACCTCCATTTTAAGTCCTTATCCGAGAAGACTTGGTTCTACCAACCGAATCATGGGGAGGAGCGACTGGAACCAGCGCCGATGTTAAGGCTGTAGCTAGCGGTGCCCCTGCCTTACCGCTCGGCCACTCAACTCGCTGTAACTGTTACTGTAATGCCACAATATGTACTTAGCAGTAATCTTTATATTGAAATGTCATACAAAATGAATATTATCAAGGCTTAAAAGTGTCTTGAGAAATGTCCACAGATTTTTAAGTTAAACCCAGGATCCTTAAATTAAAACTGGACATGGAAATTATACAAATCTTCTCATGAACAAGCAATATCATTGATTAAGTTTACAATTAATGATTGAATATATTTATTGCTGATCATTGATTGATAATGACGTGTACCTCGACAAATTATTGGACATTGACTACCCATGTAGGTCATTAACCTATTGGTCACTGTAGGATGATGAGTCACTATTGTAGACCTGGTGTTGTTATGATTTACTGGGAATTCCCATATGGCTACTGGTCAGCATTAACCTCATTTTCTGGTTGTTGGCAGTCAAATGAAATGTTGTCTGGTAGTACTGTATGGTCAGACAATGATGTTTGGAGTGAGCTAGTTCTCACTCAATATTAGTGCAACAACATCAGTTGAGCCATATCAATAATAACCATAAAATAAAATGTATTATAATTTTTAAGGATTTCTTGAATGTGTTCTTATATATTGGTATACTGTACTAGTTTGTAATCTGTATGACAGGGCTCTGTAATCTCTCATGCAGTCACCGGTTAATGTCAACTATGCGACCTTGTGATCCTGGGGATTAAAGGACTTCATAGTTAATCTTTTTTTGATCTTATAGAACTCTGAAGTACTAGTACAGATTTATAGCTGCATGTACAAATTAATAACAGTATCAAATGACATAAAATCACTAATAAATGATAATAAACATCTTTGAAAACATTGACTGACATAAAGCTACCTGTTGATTATAACTGAATGTTAAATATGGATTATGTTTTCTTAATCTCACCGTCCACTAAATTGTTGAAAGAAAAGAAGACTACACTATATTTCTGTAGAAATAATAATATTTATAATTTAATATAACATGCAGTCTTTTACAGCGCATAATTCCAATGGTTTAAAGCACTTCACATTATTACCATGGTCAATGGATCAAACCCATATGGGAACGTTATATCATTCAGTTCTCTGGGGACACGTTTCATAAATTCATAAAGTTGCTGCTGGAGTAATGATCTGCGTGGGTTTAAGTTTGGTCATTTATTTTGTTTCCTTGCATTATTACCCCTTTTACCACAACTGAGTAATTGTAGGTCTGAAATGCATAGAACATTGAATATGCACAACATTACAGTGGAATATATTACCACAGTACACCCCCAGAGATTTGACTACGGTACATTAGAAATCCACATCCATTAGATCATTACTGTGTTCCATAGTGTTTGATCGTATCACCACGTGTTTGCATACTGTATGAAGGACTTGGGATTACTGTAATATGCATAATATATACTACATAAGACAAAAATAATGTAACAAACAGTATTTAAATATAAAGTTTTGAAAAAAAGAACATGAAACTTGATATACAGTAAACATGTTTTTTATCAAAATGAAAGTTTTCTTATTTCTCACGCATCAATTTGTTGGTTTGTTCTCGGGTTCAGTGTCTTGCCGTACCATACCACGCAGATGTTCACAATGTTTTTGTAGGAAGAATCCGATAAAATAATATCAACAAATGTTTGAATCTTTTGTCATCGATAGCTTTATAAAAATTTAATCAAGAGACTTAGGATTCATGATAATTAAGCGTGCAGCAGAGGGCCTGTGTTTTGGGTAATTTTATGGCTTAGCAAATCTGTTGTTGTTTCGTTAGCGAATTCAATAGGTGATTAATAGGCGGAATGAATCATTCTCTAACGCTCTGATTTTCTTGGGTTTCTGTGATTGGGAATCAAGCCCACAACACGCAGTGTTTAATCTTGCCTCCAAAGTCATCTGGTCATAAACAAGTTTTCCTAATTCCAAAACAGGCATAACTGTAGGCCTACAGTACTACTGTAATTCTCTAATTTAGTTCATAATACAGTAGGCTTATGCATAAAGCAAATAATTAAACAAAACCAAAAATGAAAATTTCTAACTAATTAACTTCCAAACATCACTACTTGCTATAGCAGTATGTAGGAACCATGGTCTTACTGTGATGTGAATAAAACCGTACATAAAGTTATACTAAGCAGGTACGTACCAGTGATGATGAACAAGAGAAACATACCAGTGAAGGTGATTGGAGCAACTAAATCAAAATGTCCAGACATTCTAAACAAACAACAGTTCTTTTCAGAACTAACTACAGTATGTGGTGTACCACAGGATTAACATATTTATTAGTAACCAGTAATGTTATAATAGATGGATCTAGGGGGTTGAAAGGGGAGCTCTTCCTCTCACCATCCCTGACACAAGCTGTAAAATCTCTAAACAAGTGTGAAACCATTTTGATAAAAGATTAAGATGGCTAAAAATGTAGAATTCCCACAAGACTATGTCCCCAGGGCTATCAAAATAGTTAAGAGGTACACACCAACCCTGTCTCCATCAGAGGATACACTAGGTTCCACTTCTTCTTAGGACCAAACTATAGGATTGGCTTGGAAACAAATCCTGGATGCTAACGGGTAAATAAATGAACTAAAATTCTGTAGTTTCATCTTTCAGCATTAAAGCATGCTAGAACAGTTTAAACATACAAGACAGCAGATTTATATTTCTTTAATCCTATAAAATCACAGCTTAAAATTGTGATTTAGGTAATTTTAATCAGCTAACTATAAGCTAACAACATAATAAAAAAAAACCTCAAAAATAACAACCATTCTTAAAATTAGAAACAATATTTCTTATCCAAGTCTTATGTAAACATTGGCCTCTATTTCTTAGCTTTTTTAATCACTTAAGTACTTTACTACCTTGCAAAAACATTCCAACAAAAAATGAATTAGCCAACCTTGATGATTGCAAAGTTCTAATTACAATACCGTACCAGTACCTATCACCAGACTAAATAGTTTCTATTAATAATGTCTGTAAATTTGCTTTCGTATTCTATCACTTAAACTAAAGAACAATTAATTATAAAGGGGACGTTTGTAAGGACTAACAAAGCATGTAAAGGCCAAGTTCTTATACCAGGTAAGAATGAACCACCTGCCCTTGGGGTGAACGTGATCATAATACACCGACCTTCATCGCAATACACCCATGTGTGTCGGAATTACACCCTAAACAAAGGGGATATGTAGCACCTGGGGATCTTTTGAACTCCAAATGACAACACTGGCAATGGAAGGGGTTCAACATGGCAAGGATAACTCTTACTATATTAATGTACATTTTATTACCATTAATCATGAATTATTCATTTATTAATTATTCATTATATTATGTTCTCCAGTTCACATCATTATTCTTTCAAAGTATATTTAATTTCTGATTTAATTTAATCCAAATCTTAATTTATACATTAATAAAATGTATATAATATACAACAATAAATACTGTAGATTTCTAGCTATGGCAAACAATATTAAATTATTTTATCAACTGAAAATTCTTAATAACTTTGATTCCTCACTGAGAATTCAGACTGAAATGTCAGTTGTCTGTGAGTACTTCTTCCTAAAATGAAACTTGCTTTACACAGACTTCTCAATTACAGCTTCTGTTGAGTGACATTTGTCTACTGGTCTCCAATTGTTTATAGATGGTCCTTAGGTAATAAATTCTATTCTAATTGATTGACATTCCAGAGTTATTATTAATCAATGCTCGGCACCTTTATCCCAATAACAATTAATAAAGCATGATTGTGTGAAAATGATCAATTAACAATAAGTAAACCTTTAACTACCAAAATAAACTTGCCATTAGGATGATCTCATTTCTATCACATGATACCAATAGCCTACCAATAACCTTCTATCCTTCCATCCTAATGATAAATATTGAATGAAGAATCAATAAATACTTGTGTTGTTACAACCGCTAATGTAGAAAACAACAGCTAATGTAGTAACAACCGTTAATGTAGCACACTCCACAGCTTATGTAGTAAAACTCCCCGCTAATGTACAAACGCCAACAGCTTATGTAGTAAAAAGAAAATCAACCCCAGCTAATATATAACGCTCAACAGCTATGTAGTAACGAAAATTGCCTCCCAGCTAATGTAACTACTACCGGTATAGTGTGGTATGCTTACAAACTAGAACAGAGGTTATAAGCACTAAGCATACAAAACATAAGTACAGTACCTGCAGCATGCATGCATGGAGAATATATTGTAAATTAAAAGTACTGTATACCATGAAACTGTGACATTATTTTTTGTATTGGGGATACATTAAGAACTCACTGAAAATTGCATACAAAAATCTCAAATGTACCACTACATAATCCATAGAAAAGTGTAGTGAGATATTTTGAGTGAAAATGCACATTGCACAGTACTTTAAAATTACCCTAATGAAAATCTCTCCAAATGCAAGCTCAGGGGCTGTGTAAACAAAATCTAATTTTTGAGTTGGGAATACTGTAGAAAGTGGAAAGCCATTAGAAATCTATGACAACAGGTAAAATAACTGCATAAAATAAAGGTAGTACTTAAAAAACTGTAATTTGATAAATAAAAAATTATGCTTTACAAATGTTACGCTTTAAGAAAATTTAAACTATAATCTTATCTTTTGTAGTTTTAATTAAAATTACTTTCTACTAACTACAGTATAGGCACAAATTTAAATTACTCTAAGGTATGCAATATTCTTACCTTGATTTGAGGGTGCAGCCCAGTGGCCATCTAGGGAACTTCGGCTGGGAGGGCGACTGGAGATAGATGAAACACTCCTGGTAACTCGGGAGGCTGGCACTTGGTAGATATCTTGTTTGTTTCTATTTACATCTGCTATCCACCTCCCATTATCATAGTCCCCTGGTTTTCGTGGCCCACCATTCGCATGTCCAAAACTTCTGCGCGAAGGATGATCTCTTGAACGTCTCTTATGATCTGGTCCTGGGTCAGTCTTATCAAGATCAGTTTCCAACAAACCCAGAGGTTTTGCTCTCATCAAATGCGAAGCGCTTTTTGATCGCTCACGTTGCATGGGCAAGATGACATTATTCGGACGCACGGTTGCGGTATTCGGATGCTGTTTCTCCTCTTGAGGCTTACCATTTGATGTCTTCTCAAATTTACTGTTAATAAGTGATATTTTTAACCCGGTGCAAAAACGCTCAAAGCTGAGCCGCCCCGTTTTTGGAGTAACTTTTTTCAATGCTTCCAAAACCCCAGGAGGTACACCATTGACATCTTCCCCCTTCCATCTGGTTTCTATGTCTTTAAGAGCTATCATGCCATCTCGATCTTCATCAAGAATATCAAATAGTACTTTTAATGATGAAACAAAAGCTTTTGGTAAGTTGTCTATAGGTGATTTTGGAGGTGATACTGTGTTGTTGTTATTGTTGTTGGTGGTATTTTCAATAAAAACAGGTTTCTGCGACACCATGGTGGCCATGGTCGCTTTGGTTAAGTGCACTGTTAAAAAAAACAAAAAAAACGTACAGTATTACAGTAATAAATTGCAAGAATAGGCCTATACAGTAAATTATTATTGATGATGCCACATGGGGATCAATCAATCAATCAATTTATTTGGAAATACTGTAGCATGTTGAAATTGGTAGCAGTGTAGCGTACACAAAGGTGGGCATCAAAATTGACAAAGAAATTTGAAATTAGGTATCCTACAAAAATCTCATGGTGGGGTCCTGGGCTATCCCATGGTGTGGGTCTACGGGCTTAGCCCTCTGCTGAAGACAAATAAAGGAACTGTGGAATCTTGTTTCTTCTTGGTTGGACCATTTTAACATGTCCTAGCTTTTTTAGGTATTAGCCATCAACAAAAAAATTCTGAAGTTATAAAATAGGACGATTTTGTATCGGTCTGCAGTTCGTTTTCGAAGGGAGCTAGGCCAGTCTGACAAGGACGGGACTGCCTCCGCCCCCCCCCCCAACCCTTCCCAGGCTAGTCATGGGCATTGAGTCACTGAAAGTGCACAAGCATCGCATCAATGCCAACCACCATGATATCGGCCAGGCCCTATTCGATCGAGGTCGTGGCTTAAAGCAAACTCAACTGTCATATTAATTAATTCCACTTTTACGATGCAAGTACTTGGCTATTATATACTTATAGACCAATATGCATCTGCAAATATTGGTTACATTAAAAAAAAAATCAAACCCTACCTGTCCCAAAATACTATACTTCTGACCAGACTCTGCTTTGTCTACCGTTACTGATAGACTAACCAACCACCACTGTGTACACTTCGCGGTATGAGTTCGAACTCTGCCGCACGAAGTGCAAAAAGTATTGAAATCCAATCGTCGAAATCGATAGTGTATCATGAGGGCGCTACTCATAAATTGTTAAGTGTACGTATACTGTACAGGTGGGTGTGTATACTATGCTTGTATACATGCTTATGATGTACAGTATAATAATGGTTGTTTTTTTTTTCATTATAACGTTTTCATTTATTTAATAATATGTATTTCACTAGCTAAGTTAAGAGACAATAATACATTTTTCTAGTTAAGACGTACCACTTGTTGAGTCCTACCGATGTAAATGATTATTTCAATAGATTATTATTATTTATCAAAAAGCAATCAAAGAACTTTCTGCTAGTCTTCGAGAATCGTTATACTCTATTTATATAAAACAGATTTGTTAATAAAGAAATGTAGATTAATTATCAATCAATCAATCAATGGCTATTTGTATATCACAATGATACCCACGGCGGTATGATACCTTACAGACATGAATCTTCTAAATTTGCTTCATCTTCAGGTTATTGGTTTTCACTTCCGTCTTTGTACCTTGTCTTTGTTGCACAAATACTTCACCACACATTTTTTTAAACCATTTCATTTTCGTTTTAGTTTTCTCTTTTAGTACCGATTATTATACCGGTATTGATTTATTATGTATAATATACATGCAGATTGTGTGTTAGTGAAGGCACTACACAGCCATCGATACTGTTCTATAAATAACAATTATGCATTATTTGCAGGAGAGAATACTTTATTTTTTGACATTTAGACATCACTGTTTCATAAATAAGTTTTGAAAATGCATACGGATACAATATTTTCTTTTTCTTTTTTGCAATGTAAGTTGTTGTAATGTTAAAAAGTGTTAATACATTTTGTTGAAATATTCTATCATATTCTAAATGGGACATGGGCCAATACAAATAATAATAGAGCATAATCGCAGGTAGGCCTACATTATTCTGTGCGAGATTAAGCTGTGTAGTAGGTCTACATTAACTTTCACTTTATTTCATCAGGTTTCGGTTTTCAGATTCAGATCTGAGTTTTTGTTTTGTTTTTTGTTTTGTTTATTCTTTCACCATGGAGGATTCATTCTGAGTTTATATTGAGACTCCTGTACATTCTAGACGAAAGTGAACTTCATTTGGCTTGCAAAGAGGTAAGAAAAACACATTGTTACTATAATTTAAATTAGAAGAGATCATATACGTTTTAAATGTATAGGCCTTAAAATAGATATTTCGGGCCATGGCTATTTAGGAAATTAGAATTTATAGACCTGAATAAGAATTTATAGACCTGAATAGTCCTAACGTGCATGCCCTTCTAAATTGCCGGAAGTGCCACTCACAATGTAATTTTCTAATTTTATTTTAAATAGGGAAGGAGGGTAGCGGGCCGCCTTGTAGGCCTATCCGCCTCATGTTTATGTAAGCTCACTATTTTTTTCAGGTTGTAAACTCCAGCCTGTGGAGAATATTTACGTAGGCCCTGAAACATTTTGTGTGGAAGAAGTCACCCAAATATTTTTACGCACAAGACTTCAAGGAAAAAAATGATGCTGTTAGTAATAAATATTGTAAGCCAATTCTGATTATTATTTTAGAAGCACAATGTGAAATTTATAAACAATTGTTACATCTGTAGATATGTTACAATAAACAGTAATAAGTTTTTATTATGATTGTGAATGTTTATACAATTCTTTGTTCATGTTTAGAATAGTCTGTTTCGTTTCTTGGTGTTACTTCTGTTGCTGTGTACATCTAACGGTACGTTTCGTCTGTTCAGTGTTCGTGTTAATTATTATTATTATTAGGCCTATTATTATTATTATTATTATTATTATTATTATTATTATTATTATTATTATTATTATTATTATTATTATTAATTATTATTATTGCAAAAATGTATATAAGATTTGTTTTATCAATATTAATACCTTGAAAATTAATAATGTAAGATAAGTAGGCCTACAAAAAAGATGTTAGAGTCTATAAGTCATCTGAGCATCTAGGCCTATTTAACTTTCTAATGATAATGGGAATGAATGTAGACTTGTATAGCGCATAATACTAGGTCTCTATGCGCTTTCAAAAAAAACATCAAAAAGAAAGAAAAAAAAAACAATTATATGGATGACGAAAGATGAGTAATTCTTGTCTTAAATAGAGAAATTTATGGAGATTCCCGTATATTAATTAGAAGTGAGTTCTTGAGTTTTGGGAGCGGTGACCTATAAAGTTGACTTGTCAGAAATTCTTTCTTAGAATACAAATAGAAATTAATATGATTATCAGTAACGATCGTTCATTACCTTAATTGGTAATACTTTGACATAACTTTGAATATTCATTTAAGTTCTGTATCATCCTGTTAGGGAACGTTCACAACATTTTCATGCATAGGCTATATATAAAAGTGCTTTTCTACCACTCCCCCCACCCCCACCCCCCTAGCGTACGGTGGCCCTACTGTTTGTACACTTGTTAAAATGTTGATTGTGAGTTACCATCTAGTTAAGAAAGGCGAATTAAATCATTAGTGTTTTTTTTAATAAAATGTGTTGTGTATTTCATCAAGTTATGTCCGTTTGGGTCCATTATTAAAAACTTCAAAACACCTGCCTATTTGTTTATTTGGAAGTAGGTCTACGAGAAGATATCTTTACGCTTCATCAAATTAATTTGAACTGGATTATAGTTTCTTACAGAAATTAATATATCCATAAATATGATATTAGTTCACGAATGGTATTTGTATATATCCTTCACCAATAAGATAGGTCTATTACTATGTAATGCTTAGATCGAGCTATCTTTTTAGAGGCATTTGTGACAACTGAGCATGCAGCCAAAGAAGGTGATGATGCAGTGTTGGTACCATGTGACTATTCACAATTTCATTTAATACCCGATGTTATTACTTGGAATGAAGTGAATGAAATCGGATTATATATTACACGTGATATTGTAAATGACCAAAAAACAGTCAGTGGACGTTTCAGCTTAAGAACAACACCGAAGAAGCCTTACCTGGTTATCTCAAAGCCAGTAAGGAATGATTCCAAGAGAATATTTCAATGTCTGATCGTGTCATCTAGAGGATACTCATCTACTTATTCAATATTTACCAGTCTCATTGTATATTGTAAGTATGTAGCAGACAGAATCACTCATTTTTATTCTGTGCATAAATTAGGTTAGTTTGATCAATATGCTATACCGGTACAAATACTAATAATTTATAACAATTTTTTAATATTTTGTAAAATAGAAAACTAAGACACAGATTTCGATTAAAGTAGAATATATATATATATATATATATATTTCATTTGTGTTCCACGTGTGTTCCGACAGAATAATAGAAAATAATGAAACAACTTCAGTAGTAGACTTTAAGAACACTGATTTAT